TATATATATATATCCACTAATACATCACATCAGGTATGATTCTGCACGCGTGTTCAAACACAACCATTACCGTGGTATGCCCGTCTTGCAGGTATTTGTGGAGGAGAATGATGATGGGGTGTCTTCTTTCCTGTGCTAAGCTTTCAGTTGGCGACCCACAGTGTAGGATCAGACGTTCCGCCTGCAATGTGAAGTGTACCGAAATCCACTCAGAGATGTGATTCAAACCTAAGGCTTACAAAGAGTGTGCCACCAAGAATGCACAATGAAGCACTATGACTGTTGAGTTCAGGCCTCGGTGTGCAAGGGAAGTCAGGTTACCCTAAACCCTAAACCCTTCATGTGCCAGAGGAGACAAACGTACAAAGGGCTAGAGATCCTAAGATGACGCACCTCCATGCAGTACACTATCACGCCCAATACGTTTTGTAGTTATGTACGTACAATTTTCGGATACACTATATTCATGCCTGAAACTATACGTCATTTAGACCAATTTACTATACGCCATTTCGACTAATTTACTTCCAAAGGAGAGAAAATGAGTGCTCAAAAATTATGGTTCATTTTTTGCGGATATCCAGGCATGCGTATTTCTTATATTTCAAAAAGCCTATGTATAATCTATGAACGTCGTTATACACAAAACAAACAGACATGCTCATAAACAATACACACATGCATATAAGCCAAAACACACAGAGAGTCATTTTTGAGGCACATTGCTCTAATAACAGTACGAGTGTGGAAGGAAAGTGACCGACACAAACTATACACAATACTATGACACACTCAATCGTCATATACTGTATTGCAGCATAACTTACACGCGTATATCTCAAAATAACGCACAAACATATACACATAGCTTGCACATAGACACACACTTACATTGCGCACATTGAGCACAAACTTCTCCGTCCAGGTAGGCTTGATCTTGTTCACTGCCAGAGTGCGAAAGAACCGCGGCACACTGTCGATACTACCGCAGCAAACCAGCATGCTGTCCGACGCGCTGTATATATAATATACATATACACATATTATTATATATATATATATATATATATATATATATGTATGTGTATATATTTCCGTATATGTGAGTGTATGCGCGCATATATATATATATGTGTGTGTGTGTATGTGTGTGTGTGTGTGTGTGTGTGTGTATTTTAGCCAACATGAATATATATATGTATATGCATATATGTATAATAGAGGTAGTCAGTTGTGCTTCAGTTGTGCTTGTGTGTATATGCGCATTTTTTCGTTCATAAGAGACTGCAGAGTCTATAGCTTACAAATATTTCCTGCCTTGGCGAATACTAAATTGGTGTGCATGACTGGTGGTACTTGTACATCTGTGTACAAACTACCATTGAACACAACACTATCTAGAAAACTACCATAAAAGAGGTTTTTAGGGTTTTAGGAAACCCTGAAACCCTTAAGCGAATCACATAATCTAGAAAACAATTTTTAAACAACATCACCCCAAGGGCTGCCTTTAAACACAACATGCTTCTGTATAGCTATCTCCGATATATATTAATTCAATGCGCCGCTCATTACTGGTGCGTTATATCCGACAACTTAAACGGAAGAACAACTGTCATACGCTTCAAATTCTGAACTACGCTAAGCCCAAGACAAACTAAACTACAACCCACGCCACAGCTTAATACAACAGACCACAAATGAAATTCTGTTGCAAGTAAAATATAGATTGCATGCCAAGATGCAGCAGACATAAACCAACGGATCCCATAGTATCTCGAACAACGGCACCAACTCTGGTGTATTTCCTCTTCTCCTATGTCAATGATGCAAACGAACACCTTATGCTGCGAAATCGAAGTGCAATGGATCCCTAGAAACACATGCGCAATTGCTCACGCATGCTGCCAGACATACACATACACATATACATACAAATATACATATACATACACATGCACATACATACACACGCATATACGCATACGTATGAAGATGTACGTACCTGCTGATCGGTACATCTACAGCCTCCCGCAGCTCAACCGTGAGCTCGCCTGCATTTGAAAGGCGGAAGAAGCACAATGAAGATTGATTCCAACGTTTTGCGACATACTTTGATTAACACACAGTAAGACAGTCTCACTATGCGCAAGGTTCATACATGATAAAGGAATGTATAAAGCTTATTACACATGCTGGCAAACACATTGCATAACTCTTACGCGCCGACACTCTACTATAAGAAAAAGAAAAAGAAAAGCATACACCAATATATGTAACCATATATATATATATATATATATATATATGCATCTATGCATATATACATATATACATACATACATAC